TCCTTCAAAAGAATTAACATGGGTCTATTTTGGAATTTAGAGAAATCACGAGATAATTTTTTTTAAGGGATTAAATTGGGTCTCGTAATTTTTGTTGATGACTCAAAATATATTTTATTCTTTCTTTTCCCAAAAAATTTGTGCGTGCAAGTGCACACACTTGCACACATACGCCATTGTATTGAAAAGAGTTAATCATTAGAGGAGGGATATTTTGATTCCAGTATAAGATTAAGAGGTTTTACTTCCTATATATTTTAACCGTTGATTTTTCGTTTATCTAACGGTTGTAATTTATTTGTAATTAATAATTAATTTATTGAAATAACTCAATAAACTATAATAATTGGACGGATAGAAACCAACAGCTGAGATGACGAATAAGATTTCTTAATTTAACTCGTAGAAATTTAATTAATAAAGGATTATATTCTCACTATAATATTGGGTGAGTTGTGACAAGCGATAATTTAAAAATGAGGCAAAAAATTTAAAATATTACTATTTTAATAAATAATTACGAATACATAGTTGTTTCAAAATTATTTACGGATCTATCGTACTCATTCACGCCCAAATTAGACGTGAATATTCACGCCCAAATTAGGCGTGACTCCCAAGGCATTCACGCCTAATTTGGGCGTAAATAGTCACGCCTAATCTGGGCGTGAATGCCCTGGTGTTGACACGTGACACAAAAAATGTAACTTATGAACAGTAAAACTTTGGAAAGCCATAACTTTTGACTTTAGTATCCAAATCAGGTAAAAAAAAATTTGATTCCACAAAACTTTTTGAGATATTCGCAATGACACCTCATTTGACATATTTTATCTCTCACAAAAATAATTCAAATTTGCAATAATGATATTATAAGAGGGTTTCTGCGTTTGTGATTTAATATAAAAAAATAATAAAAATTTGATTTATGATTTAAATTAAAAAAATTTAATTTTTAATATAAAAAATAAATAAAGATTTGGTTTGTGATTTAAATAAAAAATTAAAATTAGTATCAATAAGGAAAACAAAATAAAGATTTGATTTGTGATTTAAACTCAAAAATTAATTTGAAAGATCTGTATTAATAAAGGAAATAATAAAATAAATATTCTAAATCTTTAAGGAAGAAAAATTTTATTTTTGAAAACCATTCATAAGCTACCAACGAATCCAGCCATAAAGACTCAGCCTTTGTTTTGTATCACAGACTTTTCCAAACTTTAGATGGACTAATCTACTTTGGTGCCATATTTATACTACTATTATTGCAAATTTGAACTTTGTTTGTGAGAGATAAAATATATCAAATGAGATGTCATTACATAGATATCGAAAAGTTATATGGAATCAAAAAAAGAATTACCTGATTTGGATACCCGAGTCAAAAGTTATGACCTTATGAATTTTTACGGTTAAACTATTAACTTTTTGTGCCATGTGTCAACACCAAACGATTCACGTCTAATTTAGGTGTGAATAGTCACGCTTAATTTGGATGTGAATGAGTGCAATAGATCCGTAAATAAGTTCAAAATAGTAACTTATTCATAATTATTTATTAAAAATACAATATTTTAATTTTTTTTGCCTTTAAAATGATGTGAACTCAATGTATTTTCCACCGCTGATTTTCTAGATGTCGCTTTCCCGTATAAAGGTATTGAACACGGTTAATAAAGTTTTTTTTTTTTACTCAAATGATTATTTAGCACCATTAATTAGTGTTAGTTGGACAATGATGTCAGCTAAGAGTAATATTTTCCCAATGAATTATGGGAAAAATTACTTTTATGTAACATAACAGTTATTTTATCTCTTACACATTCATCGAAAATTGTGATTTTTTTTTTTTAAATGGCGAGTCTCATCACATGTGTGTCTACAACATAAGAAAAGATCTCTCATGCAACATAAGATTAAATGAACCCATGAATTATATATAAAAGTACGTAACAATAATGCATTTGCATCTTAAAATCGATAGCGAGGTCAATTTATTTTAACCAAAAAAAATTTCAAAAAAATTATGACTATATAGTATTTTATTATATCATTAGAACTATAAGGCTTAATTATTTCACTTGCTTTTGTAAATAGTAATCCTAATTAGATGTATTAATTATTCTATGTAAATTACTTTATGGGTGTAAGAATATATATATATATACTATTTGATCAAAATATGACGAAAATGGATCCTCGAAAAAAAAATTAACATATATGTGGAGATCACCATTATACAAAGATAAATCAATGATTACAAATATGACACAGTGACACAATGCATTTTCGCTAAGTTGAACTATTCAAATGATACAGTGCATGCAAATGATCAAATAGTCAAAATAGTTCCTCATGCTCATATATTCACATATAATAATTAAGTAATTGCTGGATATTTTAGAGACCGACAACGCACTTAAGTAAATGTGGCCCTAAACACATCGTAATTAATTGAAACCAACTTTTTATTTTACCTTTCCAAGCAAAGATAAGAATTCATTGGTGGGTGTGAGCGTTCATTGAGTGAAACAGACATTTTGTAGGGACAATTTTGTAGTTCATATGTTTCTACAAATCTAAATTTTCACATACATATTTTTGTGGCACATGTTTAGTGCCTTAGGTGTGTCTGTACATATATAGTACTGCATTATACACGCGACTTTCATTAATGGTTGTATATATATACGCCTTCAGCTATTAATTTCATAATTCATATCAATCGATCAAATGAGAAATTAAATCAATTTACTCTTGTAAATTAGAGTTACTTTTATAATATTGGATTATCAATACGGTTGTTTAAATTTTTTGTATTGCATGGTGAAAAGTGTAAAGGCATGCCTGGCCATAGCATGGTTATGTTTCCTATTAGTTAGTTTTCCATTATTTTATGTTCTAACTATTGCTAGCAACCACAAAAATAAACAAACGGGGAAAAAGAACATATACTGAAAACTACGAATTTCGGAAAAAGGGTAAATGAGAAAAAGGAAAAGTGGTAGAGACCAAAGAGAATGAATTATCCTATGGTTCGAATAGTCAAGGGCCAGATTTTGGTCAAGATCAACCCCCCTTGTCTTGCAACTTGCTTTCTCAAGTCTTTTGTTTCATACCCCACTCCTCAAATTTTCTTAAAATTTTGTTTTTTGTTTTTGTTTATTTGCTTCTGTTATGTATTTATAGAATTTCATCAATATATGTTACGTTGATTATCAATTAAGCTTTTTTTTTTAAGTGTGTGCCGGGAGCTAGCTAGAGGTGTTTGGTTTATTAATTGTATATGGGTTTGATATTTATCATGTTATAAGAGATAAAATTATTCTCTACACATACATAAAAGTGTGTGAAATTCATATGAGGTCATGTGAACAGAAGAGAGAAAAAAAAAAACATGAGTCTCATATACTTTTATGTGTGCGTAGGAAATAAAATTATCTCTTATAACATGAGAGACATTAAACCCTTTATATATATATATATATATATATATATATATATATATATATATATGGGACAAGATATTCTTACACCGGTGTAAGAGTTAGAAGTCTTACACTCAATCTTGACCATTGATCCACTTATATTCAATGGTTCACTTTACTAAAAAATTAGAGCCCTTAGATATAAGTGAGATCAACGCACAAGATTAAGAGTGTAACTTACAATGGTGTAAAATGATCCTAACTATATATATATATATATATATATATATATATATATATATATATATATATATATATATTTGAGAAAAATATTTATGAAGCAGCTTGAGATATATTTATCTCCGTCCACCCAAAAACTACGTCATTTTATTTATTTATTTTCTTATATTAATTGATTCACCTTTGAATGGTTGTGATTTCCTTTCTCTCTCTTTTTCTTTATCACCATTAATCCGTCTTTATACGATTATGATTTAGTAGCCGGAGATAGAGTTATCTCAAGCAACTTGAGAAACGATAAGCCATATATATATATATATAGGGATAAATATTTCTACAGCCACTTTAGACAAGGTTATCTACAGCTATCCCAAAAACTACGTCGTTTTGATTAATGAATGGTGTTTATGTAATTTTAGGTGAATTAATGAAGGGTGTTTTAGTAAAATATATATGATAAAAAAATAAACAAAATTACTGAAATACCCTTCATTAATTCACCTAAAATTACATAAACTCCCTTCATTAATCAAAATGACGTAGTTTTTGGATAGCTGTAAATAACTTTATCTAAAATGGCTGTAGAAATCTTTTTTCCATATATATATATATAATTTATTTCTTTGTAAGTTGCACTTTCAATATTGATAGTTCATCCTATTTATATCTAAAGACTCTAATTTATTAAATATTTGAGCAGTTAGATGCAAGTAAATCAATTGTCAAGATTAAGTTTAAGATTTTTTATTTTATACCAGTATAAGTTAATCATATCCATACATACATACGTCGTTTTAGGGTTGCGAGAAAAAAAATATAAAAGGTTTAATATTTCTCCGGAAGATAAAATTATCTTCTATTATTTTAAAATGAAGTCATTTTGAGGTTCTGAGAAAAAAATTATAATGATAAAAAATAATATAGCTCCAAAATAAATTAAATTGCAGAAATATCTTTTTTTTTTCAAGCTCAAAACGATATCATTTTAAGGTTACAGGTGATGAGTTATACCTAATTATATGAGAAACATTCAACACCTATATAAATACAATAATAAAAAAGATAAAAATGCGGAGGATATATAAGATGCATATAGGTGTAGCTAACACTAGGCTTGAGAGCGTACAACAAAACAAGAAAATTACTCGCGAGCTGTCAATTATGGTTCATAAATACAAATAATTATACAAACTAATTCTAAATATAATGAATATTATCACGAAATATAAAACGGACCACACTTTTAAATCTCACCAATCATCACTCATCACCCATCTACCTTTTTAAATATCCTAATTTTATATGTACAAAATTCACTTGGATGAGAGAATTGCAGAGAATAGTACACTGAGACAGCAGAGATAGCAAGCAAACTCCGAACTCTCCAAAGTTCCAAACCCAACTCAACCCAATCAATCGCTCTGAAAGCAAAAGGGTGGCTAGCTTTTGCTTCCCCCATACCCCACGCTGATGGACAGTTTGTCTAGCTAGATAGCACCTTTCTACCATCCTTCTTAATTCCCTCTCCTTCTTCGTGTGAAAAAAACACCCAATCTTCTTCCTCCCTTTATTCATTATTAATTGGGAATTGTACGGTCACTCTGAAAACTGGTTGGTTTCTTCATTGCGCAGCCTAGATAGATAATCCTCTTTAATAGGATCGTTTCTTCCATTTTTATTTTTATTTTTTCATTTATTTTTTTCATTTCTCTTCAACAACCTCAGCATGCATCAAATTTCCATAAAGTACAAAAGGTTCTCTTTCTCTTACACTCTTATAGCTTCTTAATTGATTCCATACAGTCTCTCACAAACTCCGCGGAGTTTCATGCCATGTGTGTGTTTAATTTCCAGATTTTTTTTGTTATATATTTAAATTTTCTTCTTTTTTTTTTTGTGAATTTTAAGGTAATTTCTGGGATTCATTAACAGCAACCAGTCTCTTTTGTTTGCTTTGTCAGGATCTGCGAATATCAAAACCGAGCTTCAAATTAAGAGGCTAATCAAGGTGTACAGATCAAGACACACACACACATAAAAAATAAAAAAAAAAGGTTTGATTTGACCCCGTGACCCATTTTGATACTTTTGCATAAACGTGAGAATGAGAAAGAAAGAGTAATTGTCATTATTGTTGTTGCAGGTTCATTTTTACGGACAAAAAAAAGAAGCAGAAGAAGAAGAAGAAGAAGAGAATTTTGAGAGACATGGCATCGTACTTTCATGGTAACACTTCAGACATCCAATCCTCAGCAGAAGGGTTGCAGACACTTTACCTTATGAATCCAAACTACGTACCTTACTCTGATGCGCCGCAACAACCAACGCCCAACATGTTTCTCGTTAGTCCCAACACAACTAACAGTGCTACGACTACTCCACCCAACGCGCTCAACTTAATCAACTTCTCCCACGCGCCGCCACCTCCATCACCCAACAACCACCATCATCATTATCAACATCAACACCTAATTGGGGTCACCATTCCCGCATCAAACATCCTCGGATCCACCACCACCGACGATCCCGCTCGACAGTCCTTCCTCGGACAACATGAAATCTCCGGCTTTCATGGCTTTGCTGCCGCCGCTACCACCGCCGCCGACGCCACTGTAGCCCCTCGTGCTCACTATAACTTGTGGCGTTCCATGATTGATCAAACCGCCTCTTCTGCGGTGACAACCAGCCCATCTAGCAATTCCGGCGGCGTCGCCTCCGCCATCGCTGCCGCAGATGTGTCGCCGCGGATTGGTTTTCACAGGCCTAGTTATCAACAGGGCTTATCACTTAGCCTTTCATCGCAGCAACAAACAGCTTATAGGTCTCTCTCCGGCGATGTCGACTTTCAGGCTATATCTCCGGCGAGCCGTGGCGGCGGCGGCGGCGGCGGTGGCGATATTCACAGCTTTATTTTGGGGTCCAAGTATTTGAAAGCCTTGCAGGAGCTTCTAGATGAAGTTGTTAATGTGGGTAAGGGAATCTACAAAGGCGAATCTTTAGAGGGTGCTAAGAAAGAGAAGATGAAAGCGAATATTGAATCCAAGTCTATGATCGGTGAAGGTTCAAATGGTGGAGTAGGAGAAAACAGTGGAGGCAACAAGCAAGGAACTGAACTCACCACAGCACTGAGACAAGATCTTCAGATGAAGAAGTCCAAACTTGTCAGCATGCTCGATGAGGTACGTTATGTACATGCACGTAATGATTAACTTTCCACTTAAAGCTTCGGTATTTTGAAATTAAATTTCCTAGAATTCATGATTCATATCTTACTCTACAAAATGTATTTGTTTGATCTTGTGAAAGTACTGTTGCTAAATATTGCTTGATTGTGGTACGGTTTTTGTTTTGTCACTTGTTCAGTGTGTGCTCTGTTGATTTCAGTACTTGAAATAATTGTGTATGATTCAGCTTTTGACGGTGTGACACTGAAAGAGGGACTGTGAAATTGACAGGAATATATATATATATATATATATATTGGCACTCATTATCAATTCTTATTTTTTCTCATGAAAATGGATGTAGAGGAAAGGAAACTGAGTGGAAAAAGTGACTTGGTCAGGTGAATGTCACAGAATAATTTTTGTTTGGGCCCATTTGGGTCAGTTTCAGGATAATATTTCTGACAGTCTGAACTATCACAATGACCCATTATTGATTGAGATTTTGAAAGGGTTAAAACATAAAAAAGTAAGACCTTCTTCATACATGCACACATATGGGTCCAATTTTCCTTCTTAAGTATATGTCATTTCATGAATCATCTCAAAAGAGCATTTTTTTTTTTTTCTTTTCAATTCAGCACAGTCAATAAATTATAATTAATGACTTTTTTTGTTTTGAACTTGCAGGTTGAGCAAAGGTACCGACAATATCACCAGCAAATGCAAATTGTGATATCATCATTTGAGAAGGTAGCGGGTTTTGGGGCGGCAAAATCTTACGTAGCCCTTGCCTTAAAGACCATCTCAAAGCAATTTCGGTGTCTTAAAGATGCAATCTCTTCACAAATTAGGACAACGAGTAAGACCTTGGGCGAAGATGATTGCTTAGGAGTTAAGGTAGAAGGTTCGAGGCTCAGGTATGTTGATCACCATCTTCGACAACAACGGACACTACAACAGCTTGGAATGGTCCAGCACAATGCTTGGAGGCCCCAAAGAGGCTTACCTGAACGAGCTGTTTCCATTCTTCGTGCTTGGCTTTTTGAGCATTTCTTGCACCCGTAAGTAATAATTGATATCCACCAACTACTTACTTGTATATATATAGTGTATGAAGACATTGGATTAGCATCTATGTCGTAATTGGTTAATTATTTTGAGGTAACAATATATATGACATACTTGCCTTCAACTTAAGAGTTTGTAATTGTTGCCTGCAGCTATCCTAAGGACTCTGATAAGGTTATGCTTGCAAAACAAACTGGACTTACTCGGAGCCAGGTATATTCCAATCCATATGTACCTTTAGTCAGATCATGTTAGAAATATCATCTTAAAAATCATTAACTTGCTTTAATCTGAAAACTTAAGCTTTTGGGATCCTTACCATACCATTCTACTAATAAATAATTGCATAATTTTTTAGCACAATGTGTATTTTTCACACGGATTTTAAGTGAAAGAGTGTGTTTAAAACGAGAGAGTGGGCTAATGACTTGCCAATATGCAATTGATGAGCACCTCGGGCTATGTATTTACTTCAATTAGGAAGTCCATTACTGAAGGTTACAGTTTTGAGAGAGAGTAAACTGCTTTGGTTTCTTGAAGTATATTAATTAAACCAAGAAACATTAAATCTGGAATATATACTCAACCATTTTACCACCTGCTTAAAAGAATTCGAAAGTTAATATGCAAGCTATTGGTCTCCGGTTTATACGGACTCGAATAACTTTACTTTCATCGGATAGATATTGTATGTGAATATATTATTTAGAACATATTAATAATATATCCAACATCAACTACTGAGTTTTATATCTAAAGTTTCGATAATAAAATCCATTATACACTTCCTGCAAATTACATAGGACGCATTGGTTTTCCTTTTCTCACCTTGGTTTACATGCATTAAATAATGAGTTTAATATTTTTTTAGGAGATAATTTATCTTCTAAACACACTTAAAAATGTGTGAGGCTTATTTATCTTTTTTTCTATTTTATATTCACATGTTCCCATATAGGCATCAGATACTTTTATTTATATATAGAAAATAAAATTATCTCGTACAAAAAATAATCCCTTAAATAATTTGGCAATATATAGAAATGGTAGTTATGAATATTGGCTATGGGAGGTTTTGTGACGTTGTTAAGTTTCCAATGCAGGTGTCTAATTGGTTTATAAATGCCCGAGTTCGGCTATGGAAACCAATGGTTGAAGAAATGTACTTGGAAGAAACCAAGGAGCAAGAGCAAAATAATGGCTCCCAGGATAACAAAAATAAATCAAAAGAATCAAGCAAGGAGTTATGGTCAGCAGCTAATGTTGCACAGGAATCAGGTGCAATAATGAGACCTGATCAGTTTAGTATTCTCCAATCAAAAGCAGAAAGCTTCAACAACCTAAACACTTCTCCAACTGAGATCTCAAATTCTAATTCACTTTCAACATCTCCCATTGGAGGAGGATCCCTTCAATCCCAATCTTTTTTCCATCTTGCAGGGTCTTCTGACATGCAAAGAAGTCCAAAAAAGCCAAGAAGTTCTGAAATGCAGAACTCTCCAGGTAGTATCCTTTCAGTGGACATGGAAATGAAGTCTGAGACAAATAGAGAAAGGCACAAAAAAGATGGGTACCCTTTAATGACTGGCAATGAAAACCATGTTGGTGGTTATGGTGCATTCTCCTTGGAAGAAGACATTGGAAGGTTTAATGTCACTGAGCATTTGGCTCCAAGGTTCCATGGAAATGGTGTTTCTCTCACTCTAGGACTTCCCCATAGTGAGAACCTTACTCTCTCTGGAAACCAGCATGGATTTCTCTCGCAGAATATACATTTGGGAACCAATGAAAATGAGTTTTGTGCTATCAACACTCCACCTTCTTCTCACTCAGGAACCAGTTATGAGAGTATTGATATTCAAAACAGAAAAAGGTTTTCTGCACAGTTATTGCGGGATTTCGTGGCCTAAGAAGTTATAACTAGCTAGCAATGATACTTGACATACCCTATGTATGAGGGAATTGAAAACTTTCTTTTTCTGCTACTGCATGCTATCCACAAAAGACAATTCAGTTCAGTGTTTCCCTCGTAACACTAACAATTAGCAGAAAACTTTAGCTAGCTAGCAGCACAAGAAAAGAAATTGCGAGAGGTCTATGAATGCATGTACAAGCCCAAGCATTGCTTACGTCACATATCATCCATCTGGTATATTGATATTCCCGGTATAAAGATGGAAACTAGTATAATTAAGATTATAAACTTGCAGAGTAATTCAGTTCTATATATTTTGAGTTAGTTTAATTATAAGATTCAAGTTGAGTTGGGAAGGTATATTTGTATATGGTATTGTAAAGTAGCCAGGAACATAGAAGCAATTGAATGATGATATCTTTGCATAGGATATATATATATATATATATATATATATTGGAGACGATAATGCTCTGCTCTGTAAAATTAATTATTGCTGCATGTAAATTTTGTTTCTTGTACGTACATTTGCATTTGCGGCTGATAGGTGGGTGGGGTGGAATTAATGCATGAAAAGTATCGCGATGTATAAATTTTGGATGCTTTCATTAACATATGTACGGGATTTTTTCTTTTTCTTTTTTGGAAATTATGTATGGGGATTTTGAATGAAGTATTTTAGTATTTACTTTTGATACCCTACTGCTGCATGCATGCAAAAGTAAAAATCCACCTTAATTAGATCAATTTATTTGTTTTATAATAATAATATGACAATAGCAAATGGCAAATATATAGTTCTTCTTATATAACCACGTGAAATGTAGTTTTACACTCTCTTTTTTTCGAGCAATTAAGTTTACACTCATAATTTTAAAGCAAAAAATAAAAAACTCTTAGTATATGCACTATTTAGTTTATATTTTTTTTTTTTTGTATATTATTCATTAGTTCATCAAAAACTCGATTAATTCGATTCGAGTCGAATAATTTATATTATTTTAGCTGTGTGTTATCACTATCTTTTACTTAGAATCACAATTTTAATGTTATAATTGAATAGGTAGACATATATTCACATATATTTTCAATATTGAACAAACAAATTAAAGCAGTAATATAGGACTTATTATGGCATTTAGAAAATGCTAAAAGTTTAAACAACCAGCTTGTTCTTGATTGTGAAGACAAGATATGAGTTACGAGTACGTAGGCTAGAAAAGGATAATCTGCTGTTTATTAACGGTGTCTTTTGTCCTGGAAGTTTCAGGAAAAACCATGTCTTGAAACGCAGATTAAGAAGAAACTTTCACTTCGTGATGTAGGAATTAGCATTGCCATTACATTTGAAGTATGGATATGGTATGAGCCTATTTTTTTATTCTATCTCTATGTGAATTTTCTTGTGCAGCATTGTCATTGGATTTGAAGCATGGATATTGTATTAGTACATTTTTTTATTCTATTTTATGTTGATTTAATTCTTCTGAAAAGAGATGGAGAGATCAAACTTGTGACTATTTTGATCACGAAAACTTTAATATCATGTAAATCAATCATCTCACCAATAATTCAAAGTGTTAAGTAATATACATTTCAATAATTTTAAATTATATCTCTCATGAGAAACTATATTCGAGGCTGACTGTTTCCGTAAATAGAGTAGGGCTTTCTTTCGTTTCCTTCGCTGAGTGCGAGTAGTTAAACTCTACCTGACATTCCTTCAAACGTGTTCCATATTTTTAGGAGGAATATGACTAAAGTTACTATTATTCAAAACAGACAATCTTCAAACTTTAAAGTTCTACGCCATTTCTTAGCTAGCAAACTTGGCTCACGTGGCTGTCTAGGCATCTCTAACTATGATATATTATTATGCAATAATGCAATGGCCAAAGGAGATAAGGTAATAAAACTAAGACATAAAAGGAAGAGTGGGCTCCAGCAGAGTATCCATCATTCAGCAACTTGATTAGCGACAAGCTAGTTTTATATAATTTGGGAATGATTTATTTTACATTTCTAAAATTGATAAAATGACATATGATTTTAGGATTAATCAAAAGATATCATGGATGGATTAAATTTTATGATTTTATGATTTTTTTGTACTAACTTTTTTTTATGATTTTTATGCTAAAATATTTTACGATTATTTAATTCATTACAAAAAGAGATACTATATATAAAAGTAAATACTCTATTTTTGTTACCATACCCTATTGATACGAGTCAGCAAAAGAATAAAGATACGTCAGCAGCTTGTAACACCTCGTGTATATCCGGTTTGTTAACATGTCATCGTATTAAGTCGCGCTTAATTAAATATGTGGAATATCTTTTTCTTTTCAATTATGACGTCATTATACTTAGCCAAGTTGATACCTTAATCATTTTCATAAAAAACATCGCCGGTATGTAAATTACAAAAGACAGCTAACTGAAAAACCTCATAAATAAATAAGTGAGTATCTAAGTCACAGATCTACAACACGTAGTCCGGACATAATCCTGATACAATTATACAACTCGAATAAACTTAACATCGTCAATCAATGTGGCATGGACAATCCCCATGCTCACCAAATAAACAGCATACTCATCAAGTCTCAATACAAGCAGCATGATAATGGAAAAAGCATAAACACTAAGCAGGTGCATCAGCATAATCAGCAAACATGTCAATCAACTAAGCTCCAGCCTCCTACCGCTAGAGGTCTCAACCCCCGGCCGGGTTACCTAGACTTGAAATAAGTGCCCTAAACGTGGGGTGAGATCTCTAAACAGAAATCTCAGTAAGACAATGGGTCCTCAAGGATCTTCCACCCCAAGCTCACCTACATGTGCAATATAAGTTCTAAAAGCAGTAATTCAATATAAGTTCCAAAATCAGTGCAATGCAGCAGATAATCATGTCATGTTTGTTATAACTATTCTACTGATCAGAGAAGTGCAGGAATACGTCTATTACCCACACAGTACACGCCCATGTTGTACTTGCCCACAGGACCACCCCATGGCCTCCTGTCTAGGCGTAACACCACATACATATCATGAGGCAATTGCACTTAACAACTCAATAGCATTTCAATAAAACAGTACATGAAAACACATCATGCATATAACCATCCCCCCATGGGACATGGTGGAACAAACAATGGCTAAACCGAGGACACGAAAGCTTACCTTGCAAGCTAACTATCCAAACCAAGAGTCCAACCAAGCTCAAAGTCCACACACGGCACAATTACAATCTGTTTGGACCAATAACCACATCAATATTCAAACATACAAGCATACGACACAAAGACAACGTCTTTCCTTTACGTTTCATGTCTTAAGGCTTCTTACAAAGCCACAAGCCCTTAATCGCTTAGATTCTGACTTAGATTAATTACTACAGAAGTCCCACTTCATCCATCTAGGGTCCACAAACCCATAACAGCTTTCTGTATGAACAATACAACTACTGTTCTTCGAAAATCCAGAATATCTGGATATATGTCGGGGGCATATCCGGATATCCATATCCGAATATGCATATCCAGATATCACAGAGCCCATATCCGGATATCAATATCCGGATATTGATATTTCGCAACAGAATGCAGTTTCTGCATTTCGCGAGATATCACTTCCAAGGTTCCATTTTTAACACTTCTAAACGTTAAAGCATGCATTTTTACACTCTTTTAGGTTCATATACTGGTTGGTTACTTGATTAACTTATTAAACATAACAAGACTCCACTTTTACTCATTAAAACTCATGATCAAAGGTTTGTAACGCTTACCAAAGATTCAAACTCAAAAAAGGAATGCTCTTGGACCTCACCAAACAGCTTCAAAGGTTCTAACTTTGAAGGAGAACGAAAATGATAACAAGGCTTGGTCCTTTCACAACAAAGATGGCTCCTTCGAGCCACACAAGTTAAGAACAATGGCTTTCTCGTCACAAAACAGTGGAGTCAGCCTTGACAACACTCAAGGACAACACCTCCAACTCAGAAATGGAGCATTTCCCTCCCTCACAATGCTAACCCACACCCAACCAAGTGTTTAGATGAAGAAAATGAGAGAAAAGGTGAAGAGTTGGAACATTTTCAAGCAAGGGAGGCTAAGGAATGAAGGTGGCAGCAGCTGAGCACCAAAGCTCACGTAGAGAATGAAGGAGATCAGCCTAGGTTAATGTGCAAGGGTCTATTTATAGGCCACTTGAAATTAATCACACAGTATTAACGCTAATTGCTACGATTAGTATTTTAATCCCAAACTTTGGAATCTGAACCTACTCATTTTTCTAAGATTTATCATATTTTCATTTTATTTTTCACAGCACCTTTCCGGTACGCGCTTTTCCATAGCCAATATCAGTTCTGGCACCAGTTCTCATTATTTTAACTTGAAACTTGAAATCACAGTCCTATATATTATTCTAGGAATATTCATGCACTTATTATAATTTTCTGGGATACTTCACCGGTACGCATTTATACCGAGGAGTAGAACCGGTATCTGCACTTTTCGTCAGAAAAGCGACTTTCAACATTATTAATCACTTACCATAATTATTTAGGCCTTCTCATAATTATTAGAGTCAATTATGGAATCATTTCCTAATTTCAGATAATTAATTAATTAATTTCCTTAATTAACGGTGCAGGTTCTTACATTCACCCCACCCTTTTAGGATTTTGCCCTCAAAATCAGAATATCAGAATATACCTGTATCGAAAGTCAGGATACTGCCGTAGAAGCTCGTCATCTCGCTCCCAACTACACTCCTCAGAAGTTCTTCTAGTCCATTGCACTTTGACCATAAGAATGATCTTACCTTAGCTTCTTCTCGCCACAATCTAGAATCTTAAGTGGTCCGACGGGAGTTTTCAAGTTCTCCCGAACTTTTATATCATCCGGTTGCACCACGTGCGACGGATCTGCTAGGTAGTATCTTGGACAAAGTCCATGCCAAACAACTCCTTATCTCCAAACTCAGACCAGCAGGTAGGAGTCCGACACCTCCTACCATACAACGCCTCGTAGGGTGCCATGCCCAGGCTAGCATGAAAGCTGTTGTTATACGAAAACTCCACCAATGGCAGGTACCTATCCTATGCTGAACCCTGCTCCAAAGTGAAAGCCCTCGACATGTCCTCCAAGGTCTGGATGGTCCGCTCAGTCTGTCCGTCAGTCTGAGGGTGATAGGCGGTACTCAATCTCAACTGCATACCGAAAGCTACCTGCAGCACCTCCCAGAACCGAGATGTGAACTTCGGGTCCCTATCACTGATGATACTCTCGGGCACTGTTGCGACTTGGCAAGTGCACCGGTCGTAAAGTAATAAAGTGTACCGGAGTACGGGATCGTTCCTACGAGAATCAGAATCTTCAAGCACTAGTTCGCTAATCGCGTCTTAGTTGGACAATCAAAAGTTGGGTTTGAGAAAATTGTGATTTGAAGAACTTAAAATTAAAAACAAGTAATAGCATGCAATTAAGATAAATTTCAGAATTAAAAAGAATCACTAAAGATAATGTTTGATGAAGAATTTAAAAACAAATGTAGTTAAGGTTTCGACTTCCCCCAATATCCTCAATATGTTATGAATTAAACAG